ACATGAAAAGGGATCAGAGTTTGATTTTATTTGTTGGTTCTTCCAGATCAAAACAAGCCTCCATATGTTATTTTTCAGAACAAAAAAGACTGACCTTATAACATCTCATATTCTCTTTTACGCCATCAATTACTGTTGCACCAACGAAAAAGCCCTTTTCATAGCCTTTTGCAGTGTAATTCGTACCGTCCAGAAGTACACGGCAGCCGTCTTTTCGAGCCGATTCGATTAATTCCAAACAGCGTTCTTTGGCTTGCTTCGAGATCATTGGTCCGAAATCAGTTTCCTGGAGGCATCCTGAAATTATGTCGAATGTGCAATTTCGGTGAAAGTCTAATGAGTCGTTACAAAAATTTAAAGCCTGTTCCCCTACTTCACTGTAATATCAATTTAAATACAGCAGACAAGTTTGTTTTCTAATACGAGCACTGCAGTAAGGTCGGCAAGAACGGAAATAACACAAAGAAGGCAAACTCGCGAGAAGGCAAACAAGAGAGAAACATATAAGTGATTCCAAAAAGCAGTAGAAATCCACCCAGGTTTTTCCAGAATATCTCTGCTGAGCAAATAATCTGATACAGGGGCCAGTGGTTGAGCGGTTTAGCTCATTTCGTCCGGATGTGAAAATGAGTGGATTAATTCCTCCCGTTCCATACTTATCTGCAATAGACAGCACAGCCCAAGACAGGCAGCCATATCACTCGATTTTCAAATAACAGCTGAACGTCTTGCTCTACTGAGTGGCATATGCAAGAAAGTAAACGAATACTCGAGCTGCCATCAAAGAAATAGCGCAAACACGCTGAAGAGATGGTAGGTGGGTACTAAATGAAGTCATGCAGCACAAGGACCGATTTAGCTACGCAGCTAGTATAGAAGCATCACAGTAATATTACTAACATGGAGTACTCACACTGTTAAGGCGCTTTTCGTATTTGTGCTTTAGAACAACTCTGCCTGCCTACGAGCAAGGCCTTGCTTCTCATTCCTTGTTTTGACGAATAATTTCTTTGATACTTTGATCAGCTGCAGCTCACAGCCTGGTTCTCAAACTATGCAGCTGAGCTGCTTTTCCAATTGCTTTAAACAATACTGCATCGCCTGGTGGTCAGTCTGTTTTCATGGATAATGATATTAGAAGAAGCAATCAATTTACCGGCGCTAACTTTAAACTTTTTCGCATCCTCAACAATCTCCGGTATCCATTCTCTTGCTTCACCAACCAAAATCGCTGTTGTAAGAGCAAGACAACGCTGCCCTGAGCAACCATATGCACCACTCGTTAACTAAATTTGTAAAAAAAAATTGCCTTCAAGCTCATCAAATACAATAACCATTGGTCAGCAACTGAGCTAGTAACTACTTAGATAACTGGACAAATTTACATAATCGATAACAACAAAAAAAAACCTAATCAGCAGAAATTGTAAGTCGAGAAATATCAAATGCCACAATCCCGAATTTCCTCATTTTTTATTTTTTTGAAAGATGGAAGCGGTGATTAATCAAGCTATTAATCTTAGCCAATAACAAACGATAGCTGATAGGTTATCAGTGGTTACTCTCAGAGTCAAAATCCCCTCCGTATTCGCTTTTTATGTGAGACAGGGAAACTCGAGAAGTAGTCCGACCAGTAGCAAATTATAACAACGACGAATCTTGCTGACAAGACTAACGATGGTCCACTGCTTAGGAGTAAGCTGATGGCGCATTTAACTCTTTGGAACACGGAAATTCCAATTTAATGTCGAAACGAATGAACGAATCGCAAACTGACAAACTGTCCCACTAGGAGAGTCAAACTTTCGACCTACTCTGCACGACAACAGTGCCTTTCATTGTGCTGGACTCGCTAAAATGTAGTAAATTAAAGGGAACTGCATTATCTAAACTAGATTAAAATAGTTAAAAATCTATTTTTATTTTTTTGTATGTTGTGTTTTTTTTACCTTTCACTTATTTTTCTAGAAAATGCTAACCAGAGGGGAAAAAGTTTTATTTTTTAAAGATAACTTTATTATCTGCGATTGCCATTTTTACTTTTCGCAAAATTTTCGCTTCTTTGGATTTGCAACTTCATTAAAGTTCTAATACCTGTCTGAAAAGTCCCGTCTTAGTTGCATCCGGCATCACAACACCCAAACATTTTGCTCCCATATTGCACTGCACACGTTTTAAAGCTTTCGATGCTCGAGCGTAGATATGCTCACCCTGGAAGAAGGGCTCTTTTGGAACTGTTTGATAGATATTAATGTAGTTCTTTTTGCTTCTTTTTAGCAAAAATATCTTATCCATTTTGAATTGAAGTTTTTGAAGGAATCTTGATAGTGGTGTATCTGAAATAGGCTCATATCAAGATATTTTTTTTTACTCCTCTGATCACAGAGATATCCATATCGAAAGGATATTGGAAATGGTGCCTCGGGCTTTTCAGTCTACAGCAGTAAATCATTAAAAAAACGAAGTAAAAATAGCCTGAACATACGTGCTGCTTGCTGTTCAAATTACATGTTATTTTTAAAAAAAACTGTGAGCTTTGGAAGCCAAGAAAATTTATAGAACCCCAGAAAGAAGTACGACAAAGCTGGCCTAACAAAGTGTGTGTGTTTGTGTATACATGCATATGTATGTATGTATATTTGTATATGTATAATATGTACATGTGCATATTTGTGTATTTGTTCATGTGTATGTATGTGTTTGCACATGTATATGCAAGAATGCATGTATTTATGTGTGCGCTTCCTAGCGATCTGGAAAGTGTTATGATATTCCAGCAGTTGCAGCGATCAGCATGATTGAAGCATGAAAAGCTTATCATTAAGGATTCAAATGACTCTGATTTCTTAGTACCGCAAAACTTTTTCTTCCTTGGTACCATATCTACACTCTTTCCAGAAAAATGGTACTTGAGAGCTCATGTCGTGAAAGCTGTCAGTTAAAGGCTAAAGTTTAGGACAGAAAGACATGACAAGCTATGTCTAACATCTCACTAACGACCGTGCAAATTCGACAGTTGAAGTACGTAAAACAACTAACAGCTCGATTTCCACCAATGAATGAGACAGCTTTGATATCCGGATTATCGCAGATAAAGTTTACACTGTCATGTTGGCCATGAATGATATTGTAACAGCCATCCGGAATGCCGGCCTCTTTCGCTAATTCGGCCAGCATTAATACTACTCCGGGATCATGTTCCGATGGCTTATGCACAAGCGTGTTACCTAAAATCGAAATGCAAATAACAGAATTGGCGAAAGCAGTTGGAAAGCGGGCGATCTCGCGGCCGAACCGCTTCTTATTTGGAAGAGTAGGGAAGTGGAAGTAACCATACCACTCGCCTTCATAATCGGGCTCATCATGTTAACCATTGGGCCGCCAAGTCTCATGCTCCTAACCCGACAGTGAGGTATATATGTGATACCTTCACACCTACTTTATCATCTGGTTGTATGGTACTTTCACGTCTTCTAAGAACTGTCAAATTGCGCGGGAGTGTCGGTAGAGGTCCGAAGCTAGTGAGGTTGCTGAAAGGCACCAATATGTCGAATGCAGCTTCATTAGCTTCTTACATTTTAATTTACATTTGCTAGTCTTTCGCTTAGAGCACATTTGCTCCTTTGGAGTCTAGTTTAAAAGATATTGTTATGGGATAACGCCCATATTTACAATTTGTTTATGCCTGGGGTATGTTTGATAATCCGTATTTGAGGAAATGAAACGAGCGCTAAGGTCGCCAGAAGTCTGACCAAAAGGCCAAGTTTGGATTTATCAACAGTAATTCGAAATCACTGTCCTAGTCTGTGTTAAATCGCCGGTTTGATTCAGGACCACAAGAAAGGGGAAGTATAGGGACATGCATGGATATCCATCCATACAGGCAATCAATCCAGAAAGCAGATGATCGCATGGGAA